GTTTGTTTGTTTGTTTGTTTGTTTGTTTGTTTTTTAAGTGCTTGTTTCATTGTGGTGTGAATGAATGATTAAAATTTCTGGATTTTGACATTTAGAACATGCTGATTTATCAGAACTGTTAAAAACCTGATTGTTGTTTGGTCCTCGTTTGTTGGGGCAATCTATTAATTTATGTTGTCTGTTAAAGAGGGAAATTCTTCCTCTAGCCTGCAGACAATTAAGTGAATGGTTTGCAGTGTGCCTTTAAAATTCTTTGAATGCATTGAGCATGTTTGTTCAGTAAATTTTGAATTGAGTCATAGTAATGATTTTGCTTTGATTCTGTGGCTTTTGCTCCTCTCCAGAAGAACTTGAATTCCCTGTTGCATTTTGTATACGTGTTCTTAACAGGGGAAGAAATTTTGCATTTTTTACAGAGGTGGGTTTTCCTATCCCCTCTGAATGCCTTCTGTAAGTGATATAGCGAAAATCTGTTATTGCAGTGCTTAACTATTTCATAAACTATTTTTTGGCTTAATCAGAAACAATGACAAAGAATGATAATAAAAAATATGGAAACCTTCCTTCCTTTGAAGAATAGAAATGAGGAGGTCAGGCTCACGCATGCTTTGTAATTGACACACTTCCTTTCATCTCATTGTGTATCATGATTCAGAGATGGAGTTGTTTCAGGTTTGTACATTTTTGTTTTAACATTTGTGTTGAATTCATTCTCTAGGCTGATGTTTCCTGTTGCGTTTGTGGAAACTGTAGATGAAGGGAGACAAATGCTTTGTTCTATTTTCTGGAGGCCTGAGTTGCTGATGAGAAAAAGGAGATGGTGAGCTGAGGAAAAGAGTGACACTCCCTCTCCTCCAGGCTGAAATTGATGAACAATGAAATCAATTAGGTGTATCGGTATTTCACCAATAGAAATCAGACAGCCCAGAAAGTCTAGTTATGCCCAATGGAAAGTACTGAATTCACCTGCAGGATTAGGTGCTTTACCCAAGTAGAAGCAGCTAAGAGGAATCAGAAAAGTCAGTCCTATGATGAGATATAAAAAGAATATAATATCTTTTATTTCTGAAACTTTTCTACGTTAGGTTGTGAAGAGCTAAAATTAAGTTTCAAGCGCCAGGAGTTAAGAGTTTGGGTGGTTCTGTGGGATCGTTATACAGGGATGTGTCTAGACCCTGCTGGAGTGGCCGAAGCTGGCAGGAAAAGACCCAGAGCCAGGATTTGTCACCCTACGGTGTCCTCCATTATGATTCCATGTGGTAGCCCATGATTGGGTTAACAAATTGTAACAGACCCCAGACTCATGTCAACTTTAAGAAGAAAAAAATGTGCTTAGTAACTGCTTTCAAGCAAGCACCTGTGCATCCTCACTCCAGTCTCCTTGCCATAAAAAGCACAGACAATGCCTTGCTTGCATTGTTGAGGTTTTAGATAGCACTCTGCTCATTGCACAGCAATGACCCAGGCCCTCAGCTATAAACGCTGGGCGTACATGCTGCTAGATAGTCTATTATCCCCAAAACAAGGACCTGGCTGGTCTGGTGGTCTGCTTTGTAATGAACATATCTAAAGAATGTATCTTGTTCCCCTCTCCCCATGACTTCCCTAAAGGTAAACTAAGCCTTTTTACTCATGGTGGATTCTACAATCACTGTCTCATCCTGTCTTTCCCCGAGTTCCTGTTTACTATCACACAACTGTTAATGCCTTTTTCCTTTGATTATACACAATAAATATGGGAGCATTTGAGAGGCTCTTGGAGTTGGATCCCTACTCCCTCTCACTTTCTTTCCTTTTTCCACAGTCTTGAGTAATTCATTCCATGTTAGTAAGACTTCTGCCAGCCAGAACCCACAGTTCCAGGTGAGAAGGGTGCAGGCTTTATGTCTCCTACCCGAGGGAGAGAGAGAAGAGAATTGAGATCTGCTCCCCCGTGGTCACTTCCTGCCCCAGGGCCACTCCACTTCACCTGCAGCCTTCTGGCCTCTGCTCACAGGGCCTCTGCCCCAGGACTGAACGCAGCCTTTTCTTCCCTTGTCAATATTTCCTGTGCCTTTCAGAAGTTGGTCTCTTCTCTGCAATTCAACCCTGGCAGATATGATGGTGGTCAGCGTGCTGGTGGGCAGTCCCTTGGGGACTCCCAGGAGCCATGCTGATTCTCCTGAGTCTCTCATTCGGGGTTACAAAACTGTGGAGCACCGGAGAAAGCCCATTCAAATGAGGTCAACACAGCATTACATCACTTTCATTTTATTTTTGAATTTTCAGTGGAGAAATTGTTTGTAGCAAACCGCTCCAGAATTTCAGCCGCCTGCTTTCCTCAGCACCATTTCCTTGTTGGCTCTGGTGCTTGTTTTAAGAACCAGGTTTCTTCTCTGGTCCCTTCTAGCAGCTGGGCTTGCCGAATCTTTAATCTGCATTTGAAGCAGAATGCTTCTTCGTGATGTCAAACTGATTTCCCTTGTCATGTCTGAATATTTAGTGTACACTCAGCAACTGTTTCAAGTGAAATGCTCTTGTCCAATTTCGGTTAACTTACATTTGCTGATCTCCTGCTTTCATGCTGAGGGCAGTTTCTTCTTCCTCTAATAAAAGTTAGCAATTTGCATTTACTATGGGAAGGTACTGGCCCGAGGTGCCTTTGTTCTTAACAGTTTTAATACAATTCACTCATTAAAATGTACAGCGGATTTTACTCTATGCCCAGAATTGTGTATCCCAGTCAATCTTAGAGCATTTTCTTCCCCCCAACAGGAAACTCCATACGCATAAGCAGACATTCCCATCTTCCCCATTCTCCCCCAGCCCCAGGGAGCCACTCTTCTCTCTCTGTGGATTAGCCTGTGCTGGACATTTCATGTAAATCGAGTCACTTCATGTAAGTGGAACCGTCTATTGTGACTAA